TGTGTGTGTGTGTGTGTGTGTGTGTGTGTGTGCACTAAAACATCCTCCTCGAGCGAAACACTATCAACTTTTTAAGGCGTGGTACCCTGAAAGAGGCGGGTTGTAAGGTCAGTATCAAGTTATCGTACCGCCCTTGCCGATCAGGCTTGCTCGAGCGAAGTAGCAGCCCCCGAAGACATGCACGTACCAGTGTCCGGTGTCGAGAGGTTGGAGGAATATAGTGTATATAAACAGTTATCCTTGCATTTCTTGACAGTTAGGGTCTTAAATTCCGGGCAGGCCTACGTGAGAGCTCGGAGTGCCAGGGCGTTTGATTTATATCGCCATTTTGACGAGTTCGGCGTGCAGAAGTCGCTGAAAAGAAAGCAGGAACAGATTTCAAATAAACGATAAGTGGCAGTAAAGGAGGAGATAAGAATACGCATAACTTTTAATGATGAAAAGAATGTGCGGACTGCTGCTGAGAATATGACGTGGTGTGCAGAGAGTCCACAGCAGATGCTCAGGGTATTAACTTACTGCATTTTAACCCTTTTTTCCTGAAAAAGTGGAGATTGTTTTTATTTTTTCTATTTTGTTTTGTTGTGGGGGGGGGGGGGGTTGTTGTCGGTTATTGTAATAATAATTCAGTCGTTACTGTTATATTTGTGCATTCCCCTATACTTCTTTGCGATACAGTATGGATATATCTCTTATTTTGATAAAGAGGAACGACGTTGTCGTCTGTTTCAGCATTGGTTTAAAGTGCAAGCGTTCTTATACCTTATATAGGGCACGATGACTGGTTATCTTTTTAGACGGGTGGGGGGGGGGGTAATTAAGTGTGGAGTTACGTTGATGGGTTCACAAGTATTTAGTGGGTAGAAGAGAAGATCACAATGGCTATGATGGAGGAGTTCGCTTTATCATACGATTTTCGTATTTTGCGGCTTCTTGTGTTTTGATTGGGAATCCTGACTCCGGATCTTCGAATGCAACACGATAAAAAAAAGCCGTAAACACAACGAGTATTCATTGCATCACGTGGATATCGGAAAAATACGTACATTGGTAATTTGTGGGTGCTCTGGTGCCGTTTCCTTCTTCTTTTCTATCAAATGTCTATATTCCGTATGTCTTATCCTTCTTTTTATGTTTGTTACCCTCTTGTAACACCTCTAATTTTCAGCACTTATGTGACCTAATTGTGTTGCGAGTGCTGTAAAAGACTTACTAAGACATGGAAAAGTACTGGTCAAATGTCCATTAATATTTGTGTACCGTGCCGCCTTTAGATGTGTTGCATTACCACTCACAGTGCGTATGCCCTCTACC